CAACAGGGCTGCCCCCCACCTCGAGGATGCTCCGAGCTCACTCAGGTCCAGTGACCTCGTCCAGCTCAGTGGGGATGGCCGCACAATCCACCCCCCCACCACCCCCCAGCTTCACCTGAGAAATCAAGCATCCATCAGGGGGATCAGAAGTTTGCAGGAGCTGATAGAAAGCTTTTGGGCAAGCTTTGGGGGAAAAACCGGGGGGAATCTTGTATTTCAGGAGGCCCTGAAGTACGTTTCCATTTACAAGCCAGCCTGCGGTACGTAATGAGTCTCAAACATCTGCTTTCGAGGAGAAGCTGAACTCGTGCACATCCCTCCCGCCCGCTACGCGTCCCACAATATCTAATAAACCCTGAGTTGTTCAACATCTATCAAAACTGCCAAAATATCACCATTTTGAGTCTAAAAATGCAAGATCTGTAGAAAAGGGTTAGGAAGACAGTAAATTAGGCCCTGCACGAAGGGCTCTACATGGGAAGCTAATGACCTTTTGTCTCTCCTGTCTACAGACGGGCCTCATTTGCATGTATGCAGTTGGAATAATCTCGCCCATATTTCAAGCGTGTGGCTGCATCCCCGCGTCCTCCTCCAGAGAGGTTCCCTCCCGCTGTGCATGCCATTATAATAGTGCAGCCACTTCAGACTGCCTTTAAAGCCACCTAGACACCAGCCAGGCTTCTCCAGCCCGACGGGAGGCTCTCCCCGTGGAAGAGAAAAAGTGGTTTGAAGCCCCCATATGTGGCAAAAGTCCTGATGTGGCACGGCTTGGGGGACCCCCTGAGCTGTGAGACCCTGACAGCAGTGCCCGTGCCTCGGTTCTGGGGAGCATCCCCGCGCTTCTGGGGGAGCTGCTCCAGTAACAGCCCCCATTTTCTTCTCTAGGGAGCAAGATTTTAGGTTGATCTCAGATTTACAGAGCCCAAGTGTTTTACCAGATCCCTGTGCTGCAAGCTGAAGCCCCGGGACGCCCTTTCTTAGGTGCTTTGAGGATATTTTTGAAGCAGTTCCCAAAGGGCAGGTTGAAAGTGTTGGAAGGGGAAAATCCAGGTGCCACTTGCAGTCTCTCCCCACCTCTCCCTGCTCGTGTTGCTTCTCCTCAAAGCCTGTGGAGGTATCTCAGGGCTGGTTTAACAGCCCAAAGAGGAGCTATGAGCCTGACTGGGGGAGGCTATTGCAAAGAGCTGCTCTGGCCCTGGTAACAACATCCACAAACCCAATTCCCACTCAAGATGTGCGGCAGCAAGGCGGCTGCGCTGGCAGGGGACACCTCGCCCAACAGAACCATCTGGCAGCACTTGGCTTCACACTGTCCAGCCTCATCCACCTGCCCCACGGAGATCTCAAGAGCAGGATTAGCCCTGGCTCGGAGCAAGCTGGTTTGCAAGAGCCAGAGTAATGCAACTCAAATAACCCCGGCTGCACCCTCCGTGCCAGGATCCCGAAACACCCAGCCCCAGCCCCTGCTTCCTCCCCAGCCCTTTGCAAGGTTTCCAGACTTTAAAAAAAAAAATGTATTTCTCTCTCATTTATGCCATCTCCACTGAGCCTCAAGACACAGCCTCAGCCCCTCTCCCTGCGCCAGGATCAGGCCCGTCCAGGAGCGGAGCGGCTCCCGCTAACAATAACGCCTCCCCTTCGGGCGCTGGGAAGGCAGCGCCGTGGCAAACACAAGACCTCAGACAGGCAGAGCTGTCAATCCGGCCCCAATCTCTCAAAAGATTGATTAAGGACAAAAAAAAACAAACAAAAGAGAAAAGGGAACTTATGGACATGAGCTGAGAGGCGGGGAAAGAGGGGAGGGGAAACGAGCCCGGCCAAGTTAAAATTCCGACGGAGAAGTTGCAGCTGAACTATAGAGTCTAGACAACCATTCACGGCCCCGGCCCCAATTGTTATATAGCCTCTATTGTCTTAATTAACCATTTTAGCTGAAATGGGAGCAGACAAATCTTTTCTTCTCCGTTCCACCCCTCCTCTGCTGCACACTCATGCAGACAAACACACAACCGAGTCAAGTGCTTTGATTTAAAAAAAAAAAAAAACCAAAACAAAACAAAAAACCCCTCGGCATACACACGCACGCACACACACACACACACACACACACACACCCACCCCTTCTTTCGGGGGGGAAATCTTTGCAAGGTTCCTTGAGAAAAATCACTCGCCAAACAAGCAAGGGGAGAGGGGCTAGTTGGAGGTGGGGAAAAAAGAAAGAAATGCAAATCCTGACGCAACATGAATGGGAACAAATGGGTTGATTCTTTTAATCTCCTAATGTGCTTAATAAAGCATTATGGCAATGCAAATTTTATTTTAATGCTGTACATATTTTATTTGACATGCTGGTAATTTTAGTTGGCTGAACAATCCACCGCTTTGTTTTACCGAGTTATTTCTGTTTGGGGGGATATTTTTGAGGGTATCATGGGACTTCTGCCAACCGATACCCCCTGGGAATCTCTGCAGCACTCTTCAGAGGCTTAAGATAAAAAAAATAAATAAATAAATAAGAAGGCCAAATTCTCCTCTCATGACCCCGGTAGAAACGCAGGAACAATCTAGAAGCACTTCTCACCCCCCGGCTCTGAACCTTCACAAACCCCACAGCCTCTTTTCACTCCTCCCACCGGTTGCCTTCCTGCCCACTACCTCCCATTTACACTGATTTAACAGGTTTTCAGCGGAAAAAGCCCAAGCAGCAGCGCAGGCGGTGACCCTCGCCGAGGACACCAGCGCGAGGCTCTGCCCTGGGTGCACAGGGAAGGGGGCTCGGTGCGGGAGGACCTCGACGCTCAGTCCTGGGACTCTCCAGCCCAAACCAAAGACAGGAAAGAGTCATCCCCAGGACTCAGCCTTCTCTAGGGTGGGTTTGGGATTTGTCTGCTCTGAAGGGCGCCTGCCCCTTCAGAATGTGTTTGTACGAAACATTCCCAGTCCCTGGTCTGCACGGTGCTGATAGGGCTGATATCGCCCCATTCCTCCCCAGAAACCCAAACTGGGCATCTCTGGAGAGATACCGTAAAGCTGCACCAGCTTCACCCCCCCCCCCCCCCCA